CGCTCTTTACTCTGCAGCAGGAGTCCAGTTCATTTTAGCACAGCAAGATAATGTGAAAAACTTTCCTAATTTACAGAATTGGGTCTCATGATTGCACGTAGCATTCAGTTCCTGAACTGGCATTCAACAGAGAACATGTTTTCCAAAGCACCCTAATAATGAAATTAGTTTCTTTCTATAAAAACAGCAGTTGCTACTTGCAGTGGTAAGTCTTCACATTCACCCTCACACACAGAGCTACCTTTCAAAGGAACAGACTGATGTGCTCAGAGGCACAAGTTCAATGCTCCAGCACACAACAAAGGGCAAAGCACGTAGCAAGCCTTGCTACAGGGGCAGAGTTAAGGTCACTTGTTTTCCAGCATGAGAAAAGCAACCCCATAGCCCTCCTTCTGCTCCTCCTGGGTGCCTAACCCTGAACACAGCTCTCCCTGGGTCCTTCCCAACTCCCTTCCTTTTCAATTCCTCCACCTCAACATCGTGGAGGACCATACGCATTCAGAGCACAAACAGCCATTGACAACCTTAACTTCACTTTATCTGGACTGTTTTAGCTGGGAGCAGAGTTTCAGAAGCTTTGCCAAGCCCAGCTTTAAGAAAGCACAACTGGAGAGAGCTGTGTACCTCAGCAGACCCTTTTAACTCCCAGATGTGTCTCTCACTGGGCCTGGACAAAAAGCTTTTCTGCAGGAAAAAGCTTCCCACCACCTTTTCCTCCTCCTAGTTACCAAGGCCAGGAGTGTGCAGAAGAGACACAAATGAAGACAATGAACCTCTCAGGCCTGCCAGCCTGGTCAGATACCTTACCGAAGTCACAAAAATTAGAGAAGAGAGATGTCTTTACCTGTTTCGATGTCATCTATCGAACCCAAGCCATTGGAAGCGGTCTGCAAAGAAGGTGTAGGAAAGGGGAGAGAAAAATATCACCAGAAATTAATCTTTAAAAAGATATTCACACTTCACAGATGAGAGTCTTTACTAATTCTAAAGGCATCTGGCCCTTCCTTTTCCTTTATGACCTCTTTCAGTGCAAGAGCAGTAAAAAAACCGAACTTTAAGAGGCCATCAATCCAAAGAGCCTATTCATTTTTACCTCCAGCAGTGGACAAACCCTGTTGCTGCACAGGAATACCAGCCCTGCACAACATCCAACCATGTGAGCACATCAGTACATAGAATAGTTTTTCATGTGTGGATAAGAACGCTGTGTCCCAAGTTCCAGGACACATCAATTGGTCAGCCCCATGCAGTGTGAGATCTGATTAGCCTGATCTTGCACAACGTTCCTTTTCTTAGTTCACATATTTTGCAATCTAACAACCACAAACTTTTACAGCAAACTCCAAACAGGAAAAGGTTTCCGCCAAGACAACTGATGACTGGGAGCCCCAGGCAAGGAATAAAATAAGCCCGTATTTTACAGAAACATAAACAGAGGTAAGTACGTGTGCCCTCAGCTTAAGCTTAAAAAGGCACAAGTAAAGCATTACTCTTGAGATACTGCATCTACTGCAATAGTTTTTGCAGCTTCTAGTTTTTGCACTATTTTCATTTCTTGCAAAAGGAAAGATTTTCAAATTAAAAACTAGGCACAACTATTAAAGAAAGCTGACTGGCTTTCCTAGAAAGATGTGAAGACAAGTCACTGAACAGTGGGAGGTAAACCAATTCTTTAGTATCTCACATTGTTGTATGAAAAGACAATTTTTATGGTTTTATAGTTTGTTTGTTTTAAGGAATAATGTGAAGTACCAAATAGCCTGTAAAAACAGCAAGTCTTTGTCCTTTTTTTTGCCCAATAGTAGAACAAGGAAATCAGCAATTTCTTGTATTTTAGCTTAGCATTCGTACAGTGCCCTGCCCAAGCTGGATCTCCCAAGTGACAGGACAATACAAAGAATACATAAACTGTGTATGTATCTTGCTCAATATATTGCACGATTTAATTTTGTATGCTTCTTCAGCAGTAGCACTTCCTGACTTTTACTTAGCATTGCCCTAACTATGCAAAAACTTGAAAACTAAAGCTTACTTAAAATGCAAGAGAAAGCAAACATTCACAACAACTAAAACAATAACTATCTTCAGTGATCTAATTACTGACATAAAAAATATTGTCACTAGAAATATTTTCAAACAAATTAATTTCCTTGGCAATATTCCTTAAAAGCAGAAAACACTAATTAATATATTTAAATTCTAAAAGACGGTTATAAATTTGCATGTAAGTGAAACTGCAAAGCATTCTAGTAGCATAGTCCATGAACAGGAACAACCTCAGGATTCAAACTGTACCTGGTTTGACAAACTGATTGATGTGCCATTACTGAGTAGTGAGAATGTTTCCAATTCCTG